AAAAAAAAAAAAAAAGAAAATAAATTTTTCCAAATGTCATTTTTGAATAAGAACATTGTCGCTCTATAATATTGTACTTTATTATAACATGAATGACATGAATCTAATCTAGAGAAACATTTTCTACTTAATTCTGGAGACATTGTGTTGCTCCTTTTGGTGTCCCCATATGGATATTCATTGGCTGGTCAGAACTCGTCAGTAAACTGTATTAGTCATTCTTCACAGAGGATAAAGAATATACTCCTGGGAGTTGTGTTAAATTGTCTTTGTGTTGCTCCACTGGTTATGGCCAAATATTTGTTAATTAAAGGATTATAATAGGTCACAACACTGATGCTATTTATTCGCTTGTCTTTGGAGTTTGCATTGTTTGCTCGCATTAAGCTAAACGGCTTTAAGGGAAAGAAAGGCAAAGCTTTGTGGTTGTTTTAAATATGCAAGGTGTAATTGTCTTTGTTAAATGTTCAGTTTGACAGTAACTTCAACTGGGAGGGACATTAAACAGCTTGAAGCCTTTTTTTTTTTTTTTTTTGATAAACTGATGCTTGTTGCGAAGTGAGCATTTCAAATTGAAGAATGAAAACAGCCACAGGCAGACGAACAACACTGGCATCTTACAAAACTAGTTCCAAACTTTTCAACAAATGTGAACACAAATGGTGTGGCAACACATGCAGACAAGCAACATAATAGCACTCAATCACATATTTTTTATCCTCTGCAAAGAAAAACTAATATTGGCGACGTACTGTAAAGCAACAGGAGTTGAGCCATCTCAATGGATAGTCCACACAATCAAATACATTTGTCTGTTTCATACTGCCCGAGGTGACCAAGAGAAGCACAACAGATTGCGCGTATAACAAAGTCCAAATAGTAGCTGTGCCAGAGTAGAATTTTCAGGAATCTGTACTTTACTGGGTGGTGCGCTGGCCAACTGGTTAGCATGTCCGCCTCACAGTGCAGAGGTGCTGCACGAAGGCTCCAGCACGCCCGCGACCCTCGTGAGGATAAGCGCATTAGAAAATGGATGGATGGACTTGACTGTTATGACTTTTTACTTTTGCAAACAGATATTCATACTCATTACCAAGTCAAAATAAGATGGTTACTTCGTGGGTATGGCGGACATTTTGAATTTGTCACAGTACTTCAATACATTTCAGAGAATGAGCCTTTTTACTTTTACTTAAGTGCAGAAGTTAAATCAGTATTACTACTTCTGTAATTCATAAAGAATTAGAGTGTGAGTACTTATGCACCCTGCCACTAACGACCCCTACAAACGGCAATAAAAATGGCAGACTCATGATATTACATGATAGGGCGCGACAGGTAATATAGTGGATAGGTAGGAAGTGATTCCGAAAACAGCCATGTCGGGCTGCAGCTATTGAATATTTAGTGTCCTACTGAAAATTCTATCGAATAATCGAGTAATTTGATTAAATATAATTTTGCTCGGTTAAATAACAATTATGAATACACAAGAGAAATTTTCACAGAATCATGAATGACCGGTTGGTTTTGTTTTTAGATAATCAGCAATCTTTTTCCTGAAATTTAATATTGTGAAGAGAAAACTACTGTATTTTGTAGTCTAGAAACATGTGTAGGTGAGAGATTTTTGTGGTTCTGGGGCGCAGCGACATCAGAACCAGTGTAGCGCTTTTGCCAGCTAAAACAGCAGATTTTGGTTCAGCCTGGTGGTTTGTTGAAAATGGATTGGTGGAACTGCAACCTTCAGGCTGTTAGCATGGAACTGTTCATTTTCGTCTCTTAATGCAGCGGCTGTTGCAAGGCTAAACTGGGCACTGGCTCCTTGCTACGAGCCACTCCCGCCGACAATAGTCGACATATTATACAATGACAGCGTAACTAATTAGCATTTTTTAGCATTCTTAATTAGCGATTGAGCATGATTTCGGGATGATTTTGTGTTGGATAATGGTAGAAACAGCATGGGTTGTCAGTAAATACGGAATGGGCTCTGGCTAGCCGAAAAGGTAAGCAGCAACCACGCGCTCCGAAGGCCAACTTTAAAAAAAAAAAAGTCTGCCCAGGCATTGATTGACGTTCATGTACGAGTTCTTATGCTTTTATTTTGAAGTTGGCCTTTGCTGCATGTTGGTTACCATCATTCATCGCATGAGCATTGTCTTTGGGGCTTACTTGACTTGTCTTGTCTTCCCGACATTGCACACCAAATACTGTAAATGGTTAAACAAGGCAGAAGAACTCCTTGTGTGTTTTGTTTTTAAATCAACATACTCGAGGACTCGTTTCACTCCCACGGCCATAGTCGCACTCTCACATTGTCTTGTCCTGCCTCCTCCAGCGTACGTGTTCGTGCCGTGGTGATGACACGTGACGACTCTAGCGGCGGCTGGGTGCCGCTTGGCGGGGGCGGCCTCAGTCACGTGGTCATATGCAAGGGGCGAAGCCACAAGCAGAGAGAGTACGTCATCCGCGGGGAGAGGCTGCGGGACCGAGCGGTGAGCACAAATGATGATTGAGTTATTCGGGGTGGGGTTGTAATATCTTTTTGCAAAGAGGTTTCAATAGAGGAAAACGGGTTTACAGTAATTCATTCCGTGAGCTTCACAAACACATTTTCCCATAGGAATGTCATCAATCCGTTCCAGCTCCTCAAAAAGTACAATTCTTGTTGGATCAGAAAAATACCATTGTATTGTCCAAAAACATCAGAGAATGTCAAGAAATAAACTGGTTTTAAAAAATATAACTACCATACATACCGTAGTATGTGTGTGTTGGATAGTGCCTTAAAGGGGCGTGGCCTAGTGAGTGACATCAGGAGCCAGGTTGGCGGTTATTTCAATGCGGCGGGTGACAGTTTTGGCCCACGGGGGCTCCTTGCGAGTGTTTCCAGTTCTCTGGCCTCCATTCAACTTTTGTGAATGACACTGACCTGGATGAATGAGAATCTAAACACAGACATGTTTTGACAGAGTTTGTGTGTGTGTGTTTAGCCGGTGCTGGAGTGTGCTGTGCAAAAGGGCCTAGTCTACAACAAGGTGAATCCCATCTTTCATCACTGGCGGGTGGACGAGCGCAAGTTCGGCCTGACCTTCCAGAGTCCTGCAGATGCCATCTCCTTCGAGAAGGGTTTGCAGGCAGTCATCGACAAGCTAGACCGAGGTGGGCATGCACCCCGCCAAGCCAGAGTGTAGTCCCCAGTATTTAAAAAATAAATAAATAGCAAAAGAATACAAGCAAGGGGGGGGCACCAGTTGAAACATCTCTCCTCTGATAAATTTCAGGCTCGGACTCGCCCTCGTCATCCACGCCAGAGGAGGCAGACACCGAGGACGATGGGCAAGCCGTAAGTATCCAAATGGTTTTTGGCTCCAGTTCCAAAGAGAAGTCCATTCGTGTCCTTTAAGTCCTTTGTACACCATAGCGCCCAGATTACCTATATGGTACTTGTGTATGTTCCTAAAAGGGTAGAAAAGTAGAATACTTGGAGATAGGTTTAGAGAGGACCCCATGAAATGGGCACGCACATAGTCCATTTTGGAGTCCAGGTATGTTCCCAAAGTGCCAAAAGTCAAGCGTACACAAGCAGAAGAATTTTGATGGTGCCACCCCAACAAACCTGTTTGTTTGGGAGAGTTGAACTACAAAAACTGTGCAAAAGTAGAACAGCTGGAGGTAGCAACCCTGACAGGTCTGGACCCGACAAACTATGAGTGGCCCTCAAGTCCACAGTAAGGTACAGTCCATGGTGATGCATGCTCGTAGAGGGATATCATCAATTTTACAAGAGTGCAAAAGTAGAACCTTTGAAGGTAAAAACCAAGGACAGTTTTGTATCCTGTTAAATGGCGCTTCACCAAAGCAATTTTAAGGTACCGTCTATGCTAATGTATCTACGTGGAATCCTGTTATAACGTTACGTACCTATTCCGACTTCATAAGTGTCTTCCCAAACAGTGCGAAATGATAACCCTCAAAGGGAGCAAACCAGGGACAGGACTGGACCCCAACTCCATAGGAAATAGGGGAAGTCATTTTAAGGTATGGTCTATGCAGATGTAACAGTACTGGACTCCACGTTAACTGTTCGGACCTTTTCCAGGTCCAAAAGTGTACAGGTATGTTCTGTACAACCAAGGGGAAATAGTCGAACATCAAAGGCACAATACGCCTAAAAGGCACAGGTAGGTTCCCAAACTGTATAAGTTAAGGGGGTAAAAGCAGAACGTTTGAAGTTCAATCTGGTACAGGATTGGATCCCGACCTGATAAATAAGAGGCATAACTCTCTCCAATTTATGTTCCTGTCCCTTAGTGGTCTCGGAGTTTGGACCATTTCCAGGTCTATAAAGGCACCGGTAATTTCCCAAACTGTCATGTCAAGTCAAGGCGACATGACAGTAGAAACTTTGAGGGCACCTCTCCAGAGACAAGACAGCTTAGGTCTGGTGCAGCTGGACAATTGATCTAAGTAGATCTCCAGTGTTTGTACCTCTTCCAGGTCCAGAAGGGTCCAGTTGTTTCCAAAATGTAAAAGTCTACAGTAGAGCATTTTAAGGAAGTCAGTCAGGGACAGAATTAGACCCTGAGTCCATGAAATCAAGGTGGCCATTTTAAGGTAGAGTCTATGGCTATGCTCCTGTACTCGGGTGGGTTTCAGCTGTTTGTACTTTTTTCCAGGATCAAAAATGGTACAGGAAGGCTCTTGAACTGGTAATGTAAAGTGAATAAAACCTCTTGAGAGTACCACCCGAAGGACAAGTCACTAACCCTGGTAAAACTACGCTAGGTACCATTTGGTCTAAGTGTTGGGCTCGGAGGGAACAGTTTGTATGTTTTCCTCATCCAAAAAAGTTCCAGGTATGTTGCCGAACTGTAAATGTCAAAGGTACAAAAGAAGCAAGGGACAGCATATTGGTTCTCTCCAATGAAATAACGGTGCACTAAGGTACTTTCTATTTTATTGTGCACTTGTAGACTCCAAGGTAACTGTAGCCGGTATACGTACATGTCCCCCCAAAATTCAAAGGGAAAACATTTCAGGGTACCATCCCCAGTGACAAGCTAAAGGACCTCCCACCCCCCACGCCCCAAATTTTGAAGAGTGTTGAATCACGGGATGATGTGCGACCTCTGCCAGTCCCATACAGGCAGCGAGTCGTCGTCCAACAGCAGGAAGGAAATGTTACCCAAACCCATCACCATTGTGACCAGCGAGTCATCCTCCACCTGCTTCATGCGGACAGAGGAGTTCGCTTTTACATCCGGCGTTACCACACAGACACCTGCCCAGGTAGTACAGAGAGCTTTGAGTGTTGGGTTCTCAAATTTTTCCACCAAGTGGTCCAGCTCAGTTAAGCTCCGTTCGGAAGTGTGAATGCTGATCTGATGGGTTTCCGGGGGTGGGGTGGGGGGTCTAGGATGACATCCGGAAATCAGGATGCAAGAATGAGTAAATCTTGAATTCAACATTCATTCTGATTTAACAGGCCAGGACTAGGGGGGTAGTTATGTTCAACTGGGGTAAGGATTTAAGGGGGTCCTTGGAATTTCTCACAGGATCCAAAGGTTCTGAAGAGGCCTGGTCTAGGCAGCCAACGGTGCTCAAAAAAACCCATCACCATTGTGACCAGCGAGTCATCCTCCACCTGCTTCATGCGGACAGAGGAGTTCGCTTTTACATCCGGCGTTACCACACAGACACCTGCCCAGGTAGTACAGAGAGCTTTGAGTGTTGGGTTCTCAAATTTTTCCACCAAGTGGTCCAGCTCAGTTAAGCTCCGTTCGGAAGTGTGAATGCTGATCTGATGGGTTTCCGGGGGTGGGGTGGGGGGGTCTAGGATGACATCCGGAAATCAGGATGCAAGAATGAGTAAATCTTGAATTCAACATTCATTCTGATTTAACAGGCCAGGACTAGGGGGGTAGTTATGTTCAACTGGGGTAAGGATTTAAGGGGGTCCTTGGAATTTCTCACAGGATCCAAAGGTTCTGAAGAGGCCTGGTCTAGGCAGCCAACGGTGCTCAAAAAAGAGTGTAAAAATCGCAACACTAAGGACTGACCTGATCTGTAAAGCTTGGGAGGTAGTGGGCATGCGAAGGGCATTAGGTCTAAGTGAGGTAACTCTACACCTGAAAGTGCTGCGTTTGTCGCGGTCGTGCAGGAAGTGAAATGAAAATGAAAGTGACCTCTACTCAAGTGAAATTTGATGCCATTTGAGATGTGGTATGAAACCCGGCAGCAGTGGACTGTACTCTTCCTGACTCTGCAACTCTACACCTTCTCTACAGATCCACGCCAGGCCGGGACAACACCAGCTCTCGCAAATGACCGGCGCCTTGAATCCTCCATTGGCGCCGCCTCCGCCTCCAGCCCCACCGTCTCCTCCCACGGGCCCACCGGCCTCGTCACCACTGTCCCCTCTGTCGCCCACCATTTCCCTGCTGGAGGAGGGGGATCTGCACAGTGTGGATCCTTGCAAGGACCTGTGGGGGTCCAGAGGATATGAAGACTATCGACGAGCGGGGGCCACCAGGACTATGGTTGGGGGGCTGACCGGAGGCGTTGTTGTAGGTAGCGGGGGGAGCCTGCAGGACAAGTCCGAGCTGTGCGTGGTCCGCTTTGAGAAGGAGATGTCCGGGATGGGCACGGGGGGCTGCGAGGTCACAGTGAGTCTGGACAGTAAGGCGGCCCAGCGGCTGTCCTCGTCCTCGCCCACCGGCATGTCCATCCCTAACGCTGTGTCCGGCGTGTCCTCAGGGGCCGGCTCCCCCCAGGAGCCCGGCAAAGGCTCTCCCTCGCCCTGCTGCATACACACCTCCCTGGCCACGCCCCACTCACGGACTCGTAAACGGGGCGGCGGCGGCGGAGCCTGCGGGGACCCGGGCACCATCTCTCCCGATGACGATAGCCCGTGCCCGCAGGCGTCGTCGTCATGCTCATCCCGCTGCGTGTACTGCCGTTCTGTGTTCAGCGCCTCGGAGAACGGCCGGGGCCGTTGCAGGGATGCCCCAGACCCGGCCCTGCACTGCCTGCGCCAGTGGACCTGCGTGTGGTGCGCCGAGAGCCTACTCTACCACTGCATGTCGGACTCCGAGGGCGAGTTCTGGGAGCCATGTTCGTGCGACGACTCCATGGGAGGTCACCCGCACCCGCTGTGTTGTGCCCGCTGGCTGGCTCTCGTGGCCCTGTCGCTCTTCGTGCCCTGCATGTGCTGCTACCTGCCTTTGCGCGCCTGCCTGCGTTGCGGCGAGCGGTGTGGCTGCTGTGGGGGAAAGCACAAGGCGGTCCGATGAGACCAGGCTCGGGTGGGAAGCGATGTGGGGTCCCCTTTACGTGGGCTTCGACGTGACCCTCCCAAGCCCCGCACAGCATTCCGCTCTTTCTCTTTCTAACCCGGGGGGCCTTCTTGGACTAGGGAGAGGAGTGTGGGGGGGCGCATCGCGCTCAGACCAGCTTTCACAGAGCCTTTCATTGTGGATTGTGCCGACGTCCAGTTGGTGACCCGAGACTTAACCCAAGGATGAGGGTGGGTGAAGTGTACACTGTTTTTTTTGTTTTTGTTTTTTGTTTTGTTTAGTTTTTTTAACAGATACTCCCCGACTCATGTACAAGTGACACGTGGCTGTTCCTATCTCATAATTTTGTTTTTTTTAATTGTCACTACATATCATTTCCATGCATTAGGGCAATACAGTTTCAGTCGCCCAATGTTTTTCAACACTACACATTTTATACTACAAAAATCTCACGGCACACTGCCACATGAAAATGTCACATAAAAAGTATAGCTCCTGCAAAAATGATGACCTTGTCCTCAGTGTGAAATCTGGCCTTGTTTAGTTGAACACAGCCAAGCCCTGCAGCAAATTAGCGAAAGTCTGCAAGTAATTAACAGCCTAAAAAGGTTTAGAATTGCAAAGGTGTATAAGATAGCAGCCAAAGCGAAACTCTGAAATTCACTTCAACATTGTTCCTTGGCAACAAGATGCCACAATTTGATCTCGGAGGACGGAAAGTCAGGAAAACCAAGGCCAAAACGTCGTCCCAAAAACCCCGAATAGAGAAAAAGCTGACAAAATGGTCTTAACTGGACAACTGGGGAGAGGATTGTCAACTCTCTACTCTTTGTCATCAAACGCTTTGCCAGTCAGGTCGATGGCAATAATCTGAAGAAATTAGCCAAGGAAAGAAGTTTGCATCGTGTTTCCTTTCACGTCTCCTCAAAAATACACTGGTAGCACTGGGGTCTCTCTTGTGCTATTACACTGATTTGACTTGCGAAAGTATTAAAAAAAAATTAATTAACATGAAAGTGTGCATATGTCCAACATGTTCATAAGTAGGGGAGTGTTTGTATATTTTATTAAATGTGACAATGAATCCCCCCGTCACCCAATTGACACACACCAACTTAGAGGGGGTCCTCCAGGGATTTGGTGTTAGCCTGTGTAGTACTGGGACATGTTGTTCTTTACCTCCTCCAAATTTACCTCAAAGTGGAAAAAATAAAATAAATATAAGAGAGCGAGCTTTGGAGAAAATGTCGACAAATGCATGATGGGGGGAGGGACTGCAATGACAACCACCAGCTGTAACGACGAGAAGGAACACGTGTTCAAACATTTTTTGCATCCTCGCCACCCCGCCCCAAAGAAACCCAACTAACTTAATCTGTAGACATGTCAATGCCTCCACCCAAAATATTATAAAAAAAAAGAAAAACAAAAGAAAAGAAAAAGTGCAATGAACAATGTATTTAAAGAGTATTTTTGTACATCACGTTAGGAGAAGTGTGGGAACAGACTACTGTCATGTGTTATTGTGACCAATAAGAAGAGGCTGCAACATTAGCCACGCCCACAAAATCCAATGAGATCAAGTGCTAGAGCTCTATAAAACAGTGCTTCCCAACCTTTATTGAGCCACGGCACAAAAATCTCATTGCACACCATGAAACAAAAACCGCACAAAAAAGTATTTCTGGTGTTCCACTGCAATTCACGGCAAAGAGGGACCGAGCCCTGCCGCAAATAGCAAAAATCCGCCAGTATCTTATGCTGCATGAATAAGCTTGAAAATGAAATTCTCCAATTCACCTAAACAAATTTCTCCATTGTGAGACAATAAAGGTTTTCTTATCTTATCTTAAAAACAGATTCTTGGCACCAAGATAAAATGTTACTGTAGTACAAATGCGGCTCCTCAATTCATTTCAACATGTTTTTTGGGGGGCACCAAGATTCTTTAAGATGGCGCCAAACTTATCTTTTTATTGCTCAAATAAGGGAAGATTGGTCCCCGTCAAACGATTGGTCCCCGTCAAACGGTCAATTGTCGAATGCCAAACCGTGACTATAAAGATGACCTCCTCTCACAATCAATCACAAATTTAATGATGCAGTGTGAGATAGAGACTTGAACAGAAAGCTATTATTCTAGTCTGTGAATGGCATCGAGTTGATACACGGGTTAATTGGACCTAGTGCTATCGAGTGTAAGAGCATGAAGCGGTTCTGCCTGTCACTGTACGTCAAGAGCATAGAGAGATGAACAAACAATATTTTATTTGTAGAATAAATATACCTTTTTGGACCAATGAATTGAAATTGCTACACCTGGTGATTTCCCATGCTACACTGTGGTTGGGAATCGCTGCTCTAACCAACGACTATTGCAACAAAAATAAACATGATGCTTGCATTTCATATTGGATTTGATTCTACAGGCGTACCTAATAAAACGGCCCGGGAGGCAGGAAATTGCGGCTACTTGAAAATCCCGCTCCCCCCCTCATGTTTTATTTTTTATTTTTTGGAGGGGGTTCGTTTTTTTTTCTTGCTGCTGTTGGCGAAATTCACGGGACCCTCATACATTTTTTAGGACGTATTAACCGGCAAACACGATTCAGAATGCAGACTTCCGATCGAGCTTGACTACAACAAGATGCATCTTCATGTTACTCATTCCACTCATGATTCCACCCGATACAAAAACTGCTCCGGTTCGTCAACAGAGACTGGGAAAGGTTTAAAGTTCCGGTGCCCTGTAGCTGTGTGACATTTTTGTTACATGTTTAATTTTAGGGAGAAAACAGGCAACTTTTAACATGCCTTAACTTAAATTTGTGTAAGGATTATGAGGAAGGTCCTGGGGAAAATGTCTCCCCTGGAAGCCCAAAAAAGCTGAAGAACCCCTGTCTCATGCACACAACAGGGAGCCCCCTAAGCCTGAAAATTGGCATCAATGTCAGTAAATGTACGTACAAATCAGTCACGTCAATATAGCCACTGTGCATTTGTTTTTCTTATTGTAATCTCCTTTGCAGCAGCAAAGTCTTGAAAATGAAAACTGCGCTGCGGGATGGTTCTGGAAAGCCCCCCCCCCTCCCTCTCCACCAAAATGTAACACAACTACATGACACAGTTGATCCTGCACCACTTTTTGAATGAACCAACTCGTCATCACAACAACAAAATCACGAATAAGTTGCTCCAGGAAGCTAAACTGCCATTCCCCAACCTTGCCCGCAAATACACGCACGTTCACATTCACGTCCACTGGCTGACGCAGATGGACCAAAGCCGTAAAAAGAAGCCATTGTGCACTCACACACTCACACACACACATCCACGTACACACGTTCCCACACACACACACACACACATCCACGTACACACGATTGTTACTTCCGCTTCACACCCGCAGATGGCGTTCCTGTCAGCACACTCTCGCAGGCCCTCCGCCCGTTATTACATCTTAATAAATGTGCCTTTTGATTTGAGTAATCAATACCTTATGATTTACCCGAGTAACTCTGTATTCAGTACTGTTGACCTTATTTCTTTTCTGCCAATGTGCATATTTCCAAATGTTTTTAATTATGATTCTGAGTTTCAAAAGTAAGTGATGAGATATGATCTGTTTTATTCTTTATTTATTGCGATATTTATTCTGATTCTTCTTTTTTTTCCCCCCCCTTAAGGCAGGTTTTTATCTTCCGTACTGTCTTACTTCTGACTTTGTGCCAATGTGCTGCTTTGAGGTGTTACATATCGTGGGTTTGTATCCTTATTAAACCCTCACTCTATATTTTAAAGGCTCCTTCTCTCGCTTGAAGTTCATTTCTTCGCCTCGATGAAACCGCGATCGCTTTTTTGCAGCGAAGCGGTATGCCGAATGAGTTACTTAGCAGAGAACATGTGTTGCCTTTTGTGCTTGAGGATCTCCGTGGATGTGAGCGTCAAGTCTTGGTCACAAACATCGCAGTGGTAGACTCTGCACAGAGTGGAGCAGGACGAACTTGGCTTTACGACATCTGTCCCTAAGGGAGGGGGGAAAAAAATAAAATTAAACACACAGCCCCAAAGGGACATTAAAAAAAAAAAAAAAGAAAAAGTATCTTGTGCACACTGGATTCTAAAGCTAACACAATGGACAATAACATATGCTCAATGGAGAACAATGCATGTGTCCTGGATATCGCCTGTTCACTGGACACTAAAGTGTTTGTACAGGATACTAACTTGTGCCTGCACATCAAATACAAACAAACCAGATGCTAATGCGTGAGCACAAGATACTACGGTGCGCACGCCGGATATGATTGGTGCGCATCAGATAGGAATGTATATGTATCAGACACTAGTATGAAGCAATGAAAATGCGAAGCACTTTTTGAGTTCGTGGTCATGTTTGAAAAGTACTCTCCAAATAAAGATTGATTGATTGATAAATATTAACGTACCAGATACTAATACATGCGCATCAGATACTAACGTGTGAGCGCCAGGTAACAACGCAGCAGATACTTGTGTGTGCACACCAGGCATGGGTCGATATTAGAATCTGACGGTATGACAACCGTGAGCAAAAGTATCGCAGGATCACGGTATTAAATTTACAACTCTAACATGCCCAAAGGAGTCCATCCATCCATTTTCTAGTCCACTTACCCTCACGAGGGTCGCGGGCATGCTGGAGCCTATCCCAGCTGTCTTCGGGCAGTAGGCTGGGGACACCCTGAACTGGTTGCCAGCCAATCGCAGGACATACTTGCACAAACAACCATTGGCGCTCAGTCACTCCGAAGGACAATTTTGAGTGTTTAAGTAACCTGCCATGCACTTTTTGGAATGTGGGAGGAAACCTGAGTACCCGGAGAAAACCCACCCACACAGGCACGGGAAGAACATGCAAACTCCACACAGGAAGGCGGGAGCCGGAATTGAACCCTGCACCTGTGCACTCTGAGACCGATGTGATCACCAGTCGCCCACCGTGCCGCCACTCTAAAATGTCCTTTTTAAAAAAATCTTTGGGTAAATAAAAAAGCTTTTTTTTTTTTTTTTTGCACATTTAACACAATCCATTTTCTTTTTCAACAAAAGATGTAATATTTGGAAGATGAAGAAACACATATCATGCTAATTTATAAAGGATACATGTTTACTTTGTTAATTCTTCTAAGCCAAACTGCCCCATCACTTGTGGACAACTCACATTAACTCGCACTAGCTGGAATCATTCTTTATTTATTTATCGCGCAATGCAGATTCATCACCAGAGGGAAAAAAAAAAAGGCATCCGCGTTTGTAATGTCTCTTTTGTTTCCTTCCCTCATCCATTCTGCGTAATTGCTCATCCCTCCCCTCTCTGCTTGCCGAGAAGGAGGAAAAAAAAAGTATGACTGGCTCCAATTAGGTTCAAAGAGGCGGCTTGTTTACTCAACTCTGGAAGCAGCCAATATCATCATGTGCTCTACTTCGTAGTTCCTTCCATAAAAATGATCGGTGACAGGCAATATTCTCGATTATTGAAATGTTGACATTTCAAAACCAAGGTAAACCGTCAAATTGGTAATCGATCCATGCCGAGTGCACACAAGATATTAATGTATGCCCACTGCATGTCAATGCGCACGAGATATGAACACCCCTGACACTAATGCATGCTCAGTTGAGACCAAAGCTTATTCATCAGATACTAACACACCAGATACCAGCGATGAGTCATGAAGTACAAATACTTTGTTTTCGTTAGTGTACCTAAGTACATTTTTCAGGTATTGGTACAAGAGCATTTATTAACAATTTATTACTTTCACTACTAGCAGATACTCATGCACATCATACACCGTACGAATGGATCATATATTAAAGCTTGCACGTGCGCACACGTTGGTATGGTGCGAATGTGTTCGTTTTGAATGGAAACAAGCAAGTGGCTCATTCGAGTCCGCCCACCTTCGTCCTGTTCCTGTTGTTCCCCTGCTGGCCTGCAGGTGGTCTCGTGCTGCATACGCTCGAGAGGTGTCAGCGGCATGTAGAGGTCGCAGTTGGGACAGTTCCAGAAAGTACGCAGGCAATCGCTGTACAAGTCCCGGGAATCCTGACCACCAATGGAAAAAAAAAAGTTTTGGATTCTATTTGCTCTCTTTATTGCTTACACTTGAACCTCTGACATACACGAGTGAAATAAATGTTGATTTGTGTTAATTAACACCAGAATGCAGCAAATCACCACTTCTGTCAAAATGAATGAATGAAAAATTAATCGGGCAGATGTTTTGTTCCAGCTTTGATACGGCAATTTGGCGGGATGTCGGTGTGAAAGGCAACACAATACATTACTTACGGTCAGACAATTGTAGGTGAAGAAGTTGCTGACGCGCAGTCCTCCCTTGATGGGGTCAGGCTTGGCTTCC